GGGGGGGGGTGCTCCGCCAAAAAAAATTTTCGGAAAGCAACAACCTCCCCCCCCCCATCGACAACTTCTTAGGGAAAATTTTTTTCCGGACGAGTACGTTGCAATTGCTTTCCAGTGACTTTACACATCCATCAACTTGCTTAACCACTGCAAAGTCTAGCTACAGTATTTGAATTGTAAATAGAGAGTTTGAGCAAGACAACGAAGTACGAAGACGAAGGCATACTTGACAATTTTTGCCGTATGTCCATTATCTTGCGCATATCGAGTTGGACGTCACTGGTGGTTGCACAACGTATCTTCCCATGTGTCGCTGTTTATGAATACTGACCATAAGTCTTGCCCTGATCCAGAAAAAAACAGCGAGACATGAAACTATATCCCGTCTTTGTCCTTCTGCCTTCGTGCAGAACGAGTTTCACAACGAAATTTGCGAAAGTATTCGTTGTGAACGAAGGCAGAAGACGAAGACGGGATATGGATTCATGTCTCGCTGTTTTATCCTGATCAGGGTAAGGATTTGGGTCAGCATTCACAAACAGCTAGGCATAAATCTGTAATCTGTCTTCACTCCTGACCCTAAACTCAGAATGTGCAAGGTAATGTGCAAGACAGCCAAAAATTGTCAACCACGTCGTCGTCGTCCAACTTCGTTGTCTTGCTCAAACTCTCTATTGTTGTTCACAGTTCGCTTATCATCATGTTATTACTCAAATTACTGAATCTCATTTTGTCTCTGATAATTTTTTGCTTTATCATGAAAAATAGCACCCCCCTGCACCCCTCCTGGCCAGGGCTAGGGGGGGTGTGCACCACCCCAGTAAATCCATCCCTGGAGGAACTTATTTCATATTATAATATTTATATCAAACTAGTTTTTCATGGTTCTGAAATGGAATTCATAGAGGAAGCCATTGTCAGTTGCCTTTGGGTCCTAAAATTCTTAACACCAAATAATTGTGAGACTGTACTGAGGGTCTCCCAGGGCTGGTTTTAGGAAACCAGAGAACAATGCATATTTTGCAATCAGAATTCAAAGAAAAAAAATGATAAAAAAACAAGGGACCATAAAGTTGGGAAAACAAGGAAACATGGTGAAATCTTTGTGGGGGAAAAAGGAAAAATTGGCAAGGGAATACATATCCAGGCCCAATAAGATACCATAGCTTTATACTCTACAGTGAATAAAAAATAATAGTTTTCACCTTAATTATTTGAAGCTCGAGTGCTGCAAAGAAAGCTATGACCAATTCCTCTTCTACTGAATAATATAAAAAACTTGTATCAGATTCTAAAATATAAAACCTTCAACACGTTTCAAAGGTTGTCCTCTTTTGACTATAAATGTATTGCATTTTATAAATTTTATACACAAACAGAAGCTAATTTTTATGAAAAACAGGGCAGATTTCGTCCTGGTTTATTTGACAGTGGGGTAAACTGCTATTTTGAATAATACTTGGACTCTTGGTCTTTGAACCGTCTTTCTCAAGAAAGGCTGCCTTCCTTCTGGAAAAAACTCGCCTGGCACATCATGTAAAAGTTGCCGAAGGTCAATTTCAGTCTTAAAAGAAAGAAATACTATTCCAATCTGCACTAGAAGGATTTTAAATGTTGACAGCCTGGACAGTCGCCGTGTCTTCAGCCTGTTTAAACGCGAAACCGCCACAGGCTTGTTTGTAAAAAAATTGAATGCAATATACCAAAAATATAACATAAAAGTCCATAAGACACAACCTTACCTTCAAATATATATTCTAAACCAGAACACCGGTACTCTTCTGGCATTTTTCTGTAAAAAATCCACATTTAATCAAGAAAATTTTGTGCTGAAACCTGAATTACAAAATCTCAACAAAAAATTGAAGAAAAGAGCGGGAAAATAATTATCCCGGTCGGGAAATTGAACTCTTGTTGATTACTGGATGCTAATTGGACAGATTCCTAACT